TTCTTCTTCTTCTTCTTCTTCTTCTTCTTCTTCTTCTTCTTCTTCTTCTTCTTCTTCTTCTTCTTCTTCTTCTTTCCCCTCCTCCTCCTCCTCCTCCTCCAAATTGACCCCAGGGCCTTCACACTGAGCTATAACCCCAGCCCTTTTTGAGACAGGGTCTTACTAAGTCACTAAATTGCCCAGACTGGACTTGAAGTTATGATCCTCCTCCCTCAGCCTCCCAAGTGCTGGGATTACAGGCATCCACTACCATGCCCAGCTCGAATCCCTTGGGATGCAAATCATACTGCTCCTTACAGAAGAAAAGATGGTTGGCTGGGGAACTCATGAGAGAAGCCCCCAGAGACCTAAGCTTTCTTCCCTGTGCACCTGGACACATTTTGAGGGACCCAGGGCCCTCCCCCAGCCTGAAGAGTCAAGTTCGAGTCTCAGGCCCATCTGGGAGGACAGCGGTGGCTACACCGTGAAGACCAGTGGAGCTGTCTCTAGAGGAGAAACAGGAGCTGGCCTTGGATGAGGGTTCCCACCCATGTCCTTGGCAGGATTCCTTCTAGAAAGATCTGGCCAATCAGCCACCAGGAAGGTGCCCAGCCAGACAGTATGACCCTGGGCTCTATCCTCCTGGCCCTGGGCTCAGCAAGACAGCAAGGGTGTGACAGTGCAGGGCAGCCCAGCCAGGACACCAGGACCTCAGGAGGACAGCTGGTGAGTACTTCCAGGCATGTTTCCGGGGGGGAGATTTACCAGCTCCTCCTTCCCTCCAGAGGGTGGAAGAGCAGCTGCTCTGGTGCCATCCATTCCCTCAAGTGTCCCTGCCAGCACCTCCCTCCCCAGATGCCCTGGGCAGTGGTGTCCTCAGGACCAGATCCACGCCTGTTTGTCATTTTTATCTCTTTTTTCCTGTTCCTTTAAAATGGATTCCTTGTTTTATACAGGAAGTTCTACAAGAATCCTTAGGGCAGGTCCTTGTCACCCTTTCCTCCTTTTCAGGACAAGGAGATGGGCGCCAGTGTGATGGCGTACACAGCAGGCATCACCATGGGGTTTAAATCTTGGGAGCAGAGGTGTCCACAGGCCTGGGAAAGAAGTTTGTCCCTGCACAGCCAAGGTGACCTGGTTCCAACTCAGCTGAGCCACATCTGGTCTGGATAGGTGGCCAGGTACCCTGAGAAGAGTGTGGGTCACTCTTCCCATCCCAGTGTCCCCACCTCTCCACTCTCTGACTTGAAACAGGTCCCAGAACAGAGACAACGGTGCTTCCTCTTACGGGTAGGCCCCACATGTGCCAGGCTTTTATTTAAATCCGGAGCCTGGCCAAGACCCCAACCATTCATTTGGAGCAGCACCCACTGGGGCCTGCTCTGCCCACATCAGGAACACAGCAGAGAAAACATGCGCAGCGCTGGCCCAGATCTGGGGTCCACTTTCCATTTCCCCAACATCCAAACAACGAGAAAGTGAAACACCCCAAAACTTGTTTCTGTTCTAAATCATGGAGACTCAGCCAACAGTAATGCCCTCGGCCAAACCCAGAGAATAAGGTGAATGAATGGCTGCCCGCCAACAGATCCTGATAGAGATTTCTAGCATACAATTCCCAAAGTCATTCCATAAAGAAAACCCATACCTTTAGCAGCTTATTTAATAATTCAGATCCCTGTAGCCAGGGGTGGTGGTGCACACCTGTGATTCCAGCACTCAGGAGACTGAGGCAGGAGAATTGCTCCAATTCAAGGCCAGCCTGGGCTACGTATTGAGATCTTGACTGGACAAAATAAAATAGAAATCCAGATTCCCGCAGTGTCCTGAATCAGAAACTGGGGTGATCAGGCCCAGGGAGCAGCATTTTAGGCAGCGTTTTGGATGACTTCTTCTTTTTCTTGAGACATGGTCTCACTATGTAATCCAGGCTGGCCTCGAACTCTGGGCAATCCTCCTGCCTCAGCCTTCCAAGTGCCAGGATCACAGGTGTACACTACCACACCCAGCTTTTTTGGGGGGGGTGACTTTTCTGACTCTACAGAAGTTTGAGGTGCCCACGAGATGCTTTGGGAAAGTCGCAGAACCCTGGTCTCTTGTGTGTCCATAGTCACCACTCCCTGGGCCTCACAAAAGAGGAGATTCGGCTTCACTCGAATCGTGTGACCCCAGACTCAGGGCCCTGCATCACCCCTCTGATCCTCTCCAGACAGGAGAGGGCGGGTTCAGCCCCGCAGACCGAATCTCCGATGAGAGTGTAGACCATGCAGAGGTTCGCACAGGCAGGCCCAGGTGATACAGAGCAACAGCAAAGGGAAGCAGGGGGGCCCAGCTCCTGGAACGGCAGGGTCCCCATAGCTTGGCTGCTTCATCTTAGCCGTGGTCTTCTCTGTGTTTCCAGGGACAATTCTCAAGTGGGAGCCCTCTGAAGGGGTGGACAGGTTGCTGTGTGGACAGGCCCGGGGCGCCTTCGACGTGGCGTCAGAGTTGCAAGTGGAGATGCTGCTTCTCCTCGTGACGCTGACCACGGCAATGGCCCTGTCCCTTCACCCGTTCGTCCCCCTGCAGGAGGGTGGTGGGGGTCCTCCAGGTCCCACAGTACAGAGGGGCCCTTCCTCGGCCACCTCCTTATTGAGTCCTCGGGTAGGAGAGGCTCCACAAGCTTTCCTCAGCATCTTGAGCTCTCCCCTCCTGTTTTTGAATCCCTGCTTGGTATTGTGAGAAAGGAGTCAGAGGGACCAGCCCGTGAACCCCAGCGCTGCCCTGGGAGTTGCTCAGAAACCCTCCGACCTGGGTCCCTGGCAGTGGTCACCTGCCCCTCACGCTCCATCCCGAGGCACTCACTTTCCACCTCTGCCTGCTCCAGAATTCAGATCTTTGGGGCCGCTGTGACCTGAACCCAGCTAACACGCTGGTGACCTCTGATCACCCCAAAGCCTACATCTAAAAGCCACCTCTTTTCCCCAGAGACTCAGTGTCATTTATTATGAAAATAAATAGTAGGAACTGAACTTGAAAGCACTCAATTCTGCAACTGGAAATGATCTTTCAGGCCATCTAATTTAATATCCCTCATCATGTAGAACTTTTTTGCTTTTTCATGTTTGAGACAGGGTCTCACTGTGTAGTGCAGGATGGCCTTGAAATCATGGCGATCTTCCTGCGTCAGCCTCCCCTGTTCCGGAATTACAGGCATGCACCGACATGCCTAGCTGAACTTTAAAAAAAAAAAAAATCATTATCACAGATCCATTTTTTTATAGCGACAGAAGCTGAGACCAGCATCTACTATACCGAGCTATCTCATCTATAGTGGACATGGGTTTTTTTTTCCCATCTAGAAGTTTGGCTTCAGAAAAAAAGCAGATTAGGAAATGCTTACATGCAAAGTTTAATAATTATATTTTTCTTTTTTAAAAGAAAGCATTATTGAGATATAATTCACATAAAATTAATCATTTTCAAATGTACAATTGAAAGGTTTTTAGGCAATTCATAAAGTCATGCGCTATCGTTTAGAATGCTTTTCTCACCACATAAAGAAACCCGTACTACTTAGCAGCATGACCCCCTTCGCAGGTACCTCCTAAAGTGCTTCCTTCCTTCCTTCCTTCCTTCCTTCCTTCCTTTTGTTGTAGACAGGGTCTCACAATGTAGCCCAGGCTGGCCTCACATGGTGATCCCCCTGCTCAGCCTCCTGAGTGCTGGGATCACAGCTGTGCACCTCCATGCCTGGCTTCCCTTCCGTACGCCACTCACATCTCCACCTGCCCTCCCTGCCCCTTCCCATTGAACCAGTTACACTCCCAGTCCTATCTGAGAGTAGGTTCTGA